CCTCCTCCCCCCCCCCCGCCGCTGCGTTTCTCTTGCGGCAGGTGTATGACGTTTTCTCCAGAGGGCGTGCATTTCGGGCAAGGCGGAGTGGCAGCGCAGGTGTTGGAATAGTAAGTGTCGCGGGTACAGGTAATACCAAGTGTAGCGAAGGTGTCATACTAAATGTAGCGTAGGGATAGGTGTTGGAGGGTAGGTGTTCCCTATTTCTCTGTGGGACGTCTGATGGGGGGGGGGGGGCTTAGGGGCATCCAGTCAGCCACGAAGTAAAGGCAAATGTTCAAGAGTGTTCACCGCGTCGCCAGGGGCAAACAGGGCGTCAGGGCGGTCGGGTCCTCAGCCACCGAAGCAGGAGACGGTGGACAGACAACGGTCCGCGGGAAGGGAGTTCGCGGGTGACGTATGTTGCCGAGGTAGCGGAGAGATTCGAGGTTCCTGCGACCACAATGATAGCGACGGCGCGATCTTCGGCTGGACTTGGCTACCCCTCGGCCCCTCTCCCTCTCCCTCTCCCCCCCTCGGCCCCTCTCCCTCTCCCCCCTCAGCCCCCACCCTCACCCCCTAAGCCCCTCTCCTCTCCCCCCCGAGTGGTTTTACGCGGCCAGGCTTAATGGAGTGAGAGGAGGACTTTGTCACGGGCAGGCGAGTGAATAGTGTGGATACATGTATTTAGGATTAAACTTACAGGCCATTGACACACACAAACACAAACACACAAATATAATTAAGTATATATATATATATATATATATTATATATATAATATATATATATATATATATATATATATATATATATACACACACACACACACACACCTCCACAATCATTAAAACCAACGTGAAAAAATCACATGGAACATGAACAAAACCGATTTGTTTAGATCAAACGGCATTGGAACAATAAATTCCGAAGACGAACAGAAAACGAAAACTGGAAGCCTGCAACGCCCGTGACAGGCGGAAGCGAAGTCCCACGAATCTGACCCACAAGGAACAGAAACACCAGTTAGCAAAGTACGACGCCCGTGAATCCACCAGCGCCATCTGTTGACAAGCCGTGCGATAGTCGTAACAGTGCGGGCCATTTAATAAGCGCATATGGCAATTTTCAGTTCAGCGCGTCTAGTCACAGTGATTATGAAGAGGCCGAGAACTTAAAATAGAAAGAAAATGAATGTGAATATCATTTATAAACACCATAAAAGGGTAATTTCTTTAGTTTATCGATGATATAAATAGGAGCAATCGAGATCATGTCACAGGAAATTTAGACCATGTACAGTCAACCAGCATTTATAGATAAAACATACCCACGTTAGGGGCACGCGGCTGTTTGCCCAATGACCGAAATCTGATACCTAAAGCAATGAAAAACATCCATGTTGAAACTGCTTTATAAGGGAGCAATAAATATAATTCTTACTCGAGATGCAATCCGGAGACAAGCGCAAACAGTCTCGCAAGGTAATTTCCGACGAACCCTCGAATCCTGTCATAAGTTTCTGTGTCAGTTTCCTTTCTGGGTCGACATTTCACGAGCTTCAGAGAATTCCCGGAGATTCAAGTTCAAGAATGCGCGGCGGTTCAAATCGTGGGAATCGCCACGAACTCGGCGGCAAAAGTCGACGTATCCGCTCCGTTTTCAGCCGCGATTTCCCTTCGACTCCCCGATCGACACGGAATTGCTGCTTAAACGGTCCGCCGAGCGCTCCCTCTCCTTACATTCTTTCTCAAGCATACTTCACAATGAAACCGCAAAATAATACCAAAAAAAAGCAGTCCAAACCAGCATTTAAGCGAGGAAAAACATAAAGCCATTGTGATAAACAGACAGTCCAAAAAAAAAAAAAAAAAAAAAAAACGCGCTGCAGAAACAAAAGAAAGTCGGCTGGAATCACGTATTGTGAGCATGACGTACCCGGCGCCTCGTGTGCTCGGCTGAACTCACGAGCTTTCCCCGTGCTGCCTGATCATGCTGCAGCGCTCACGTCCGGTATGTCGAGACGAAAGAGAATAGCAGAGAGAGAGAGCGAGAGGGAGAAAGAAGGAATGTGAGAGAGAGAGAGAATGAGAGAGACGGAGAGGGAAAGAGGGAGAGGGAGGAAGGGAAGAGGGAGAGAGAGGGAGGAAGAGGGAGAGAGGGAGAGAGAGAGGGAGAGGAGGAGAGAGAGGGAGAGAGAGAGAGAGGGAGAGAGAGAGAGAGAGAGAGAGAGAGAGAGAGAGAGAGAGAGAGAGAGAGAGAGAGAGAGAGAGAGAGAGAGAGAGAGAGAGAGAGAGAGAGAGAGAGAGAGAGAGAAAGATAGATAGATAGATAGAGAGAGAGGGCTCTTCAGGGCAGGGGGAGAGGGGAGAGGGGGGGAGGGGGATTCACAATGGTTTCTTGCAGATGAATAAGAATAAACGTTTACGAAGCTGATTAAACACGGAGTTTCGGTCACGGGCGAGGAAACGCTGAGAAAATGCTGACCGTTTAGAGATACATATCACGTCGGGGAGGATCT